CACACACACACACACACACAGAGACACAGAGAGAGAGAGAGGCTTTTTCTGGGCTTTACTTGACATTTTAAGCAAAAAGCTTATTTTATCCTGATGGAGTGTGTGACAACTGAAACTGTACTGTATTACAGGATTACGTGTGTGTGACCGTTTTCACCACCTAAGATGTTTACGTAAGGAATATGATATACACAGTCAGCTGGTCTGATTATCACAGAATATATATATTTTTAATATTTGAATAAGTCTCTTATGCTCACTAAGGCTGCATTTATTTGATTAAAATACAGTAAAACATAAAAATTGTGAAATATTATTGCAATTTAAAATAATCAATAAATTTAATAAATAAAATAAAAAATAAAATAATAAAATATATATTTTTCTTTATTACAATGACTGTCACTTTTGATCAATTTAATATATCCATGATGAATACACATATTTATTAATTTAATTCGATTTTAATTAATCATTATTACATGCGAAAAAAGCAGAGCATAAGAAAGATATGAAACTAGTACGGTATATTACAACTGTTTAACTGCAAAATGCTACGATTGGCCAATCAGAATCAAGTATTGCAGGAAGCTGTGTAATAATCAAAGATATCTCAGTCATAGTACAGTCATAAATAGGACTGTTGAAGTGTATTACGTAATGTTAAGTGCCGTGTCCAGCTCCGTGACACAAACAAGCCCCAACCTAATGCTACACAGACGCATCTGGTGGACATGTGTGAGTGTCTGTGTGTGTGTACAGGTTTTTATACAACATCACGGGGGCATTTTAAAGGATTCGACAGAAAGAGTAATGGTGTTTTAAACTGTCTCTCTGCACTTTATGAGTGAGGGATGTAGAGGGGGGTCAAGATAGAGGGAGAGGAGAGGAAGTGATGGAGGTGAGGAAGTGGAGATGGGAGGGGAGAGATAAGAGGCGGGAAAGGGAGGAAAAGAGGAAGAAGATAAAGAGATGGAGAAAATAGCAGGAGGTGGAGGAGCTGGTGCAGCTATTCCCTCCAGCACTCAAAGATAAGCCCTGTTTACAGCAGCTTTATGGGAATACAGCCCACAAATGATATGATTCATGTTTTCCTTAAACTTTAACGATAGCGCTCATTTCAACGCTATAAATAAAGATCAGCGTTAGAATGTACATTCTCAGTGTGATGGATGTGATGAACCCAAATATGAAAATTATCTAATTTTACATGGGTCATACCAGTTTAGAATGTCATTTTAAACTACTTTGACTTTATTAAAAATAATAATAATAATAAATCACATGCTCACGGGTCTTCACATGGTCTACACACAACATTTATAGTGGCCATGGCTGTTAAATTAAATGGGAAAAAGAGAAAAACACCAAAAAAGTGACTCATGTACTCATTTATTTCAATCTTCTAAAGTCATATGGCAGCTTTGCATGAGAAAAAAAAAGTCTCAGTCTCTCTAAACCCCTCCTTTCCGTGAGCCTGCTGTGCTCT